TGCCTTTCTTCTTGCTCTCGGATACCCTGACATTCAGGTTTGTGTCCTCTTCCTTAGTTTTTCTTTTCCTTTGTTCATTCATGGTGTTTTACACGGAGGATGGGCTAGTAATGTTGGAGTTTGGTTTTGTTGATGATTTGTTGTTGCTTTGTCAATGCTAGTGCTTGTTTCCTTGTTAAAAATTTTGGGTTTACTCCTCCATCCCACTCACTTTCCTCTTCTCCTTTTTGTGGTGCACGCCAGGTGTTCGCTGAAATTCCTCAACCAAGTCCACCTCTCTAAATGTCTCGTGCCGGTCCTTCTCGCCCTCCTCGACCCTCTTCAGGTGCCCGTGCTGTCACTCGTGAGCGACCACGTGATCCTTGGGATCGCAAACAACTCAACTACGAACTCTCATTTCCGCTCACGGATGCCTTTGACATTCTACCCACAACTTTGTGGGCTGTCGCCGAATTGACTAACCGGCGTCTGCAACACATTTGCGCACCCCTTGCCAGGGTTGCCTACCCCCGTGTAGTGCGCCTCTTCTACCAGAATCTCCAGTGCCCTGAAGAGCCACCCATTTCTCTCACTACATCCATTGACGGCACCGCCTATGCTTTCACTATGACCGACATCATTCAGGTTTCTGGTTGCCCCATTGAGTGCCCCGATGACATTGTCAATCGTGAGAATCTCCCTTTATATGAGGAGCCGGATACATTAACTGTGGCGCAGATTGCCGCTGCCATTTGCCCTATTGACGATCCTACTCGGCCCCGGTCTTTTATCCGCAAAACCAATCTTCCGGAACGCCTATGGTTCATTGACACTGTCTTCAAGCACAATGTTTGCCCTTTGGTGCACAGCACCGAGCGTCGGGGCCTCTTTCTACAAGCCTTATATGCCATGGACCAAGGCCAATGGTTCTCCATCCCAGAGCTCATTTGGTCCACCTTTATGACGTTTTGGCATGATGCTCATAATGCACGGGCTCCGCGAGTTGAAAATCGGAAATTGCCTTTGCCGTTTTTCATCACTCGACTCCTTCAGCACAAGGGTTTCGTTGTTCCTCCCCACGAACCAAGAGGCGACAAAATCAAAATTTTTACCCAGCGCCGGTGGATCAATGTTCTGAGCCATTCTAGTACCCCTCCGCCTCCTGCCCCCTGTTCATCCACGCTCCACCTCCTCCTCCTTCTGAGGCAGTTTCCACCGCCGCAGCCACTGCGAGGATAGAGCCTTCGGTCGACTCTCACCAGGACCAGGCTTTCATCCGGGCTTCCATTGCCGGTATTCATGCGCGACTAGATCGTTTTGAGCATTCTTTGTCCGCGTGCACTCAGGCTCTGTGTGAGTCTTCTTCACGTGCTGAGGAAGATCGTCGTCTTGCTGCTGAAGACCGCCGTGTCGCCGCTGAGGACCGTCGTTTGGCTTCCGCTGAACGGCGTAAGACTCAATCTCTCCTCCATTCCCTCCTCGCCCGTTTACCTTCTGGCCAGTAGCTTGTTGCGCGTGTGGACCTTCTCTTTTGTTTCATCTGTAACTATTTCTCTTGTATATTTTGTTTTCCTTTTAAACTGTAAGAATTTGCTATGTATAGGTTGCTCTGGTCGACATGATCCCTGTACAGTTCTTTTTGTCATCATGTAAACTCTTTTTGCAATGCAAGTTCTTTATGTTCTGTTAACTTTCGATACATTCGTTTTCTGTCTTTATGCTTGTGCTATTAATGTGTTTGTGGTTGTTTCTTTTGGTTCTTCATATTGCTTTCCAGGTTGCGCAGTCCGGTTCAAGTTTGGGGGTTTTTGTCTCAAAATGCCATTCCCTCCCCCGGGTATTGTTGTTCCTTTTATACTCGTTGTCATTTTTGTCTCTCACTTGCATCCATGTCCACATTGAGGACACTGTGTCGTTTAAGTTTGGGGGTGCATCAAGCATTCTTGGCATATTTTTGGTTCCATAATTTTTGCTAAGTAATGATAGTATAACTTGACACTTGTCGGAGATGAAACATATGTTTAATACCTTGTGTATAGAAGCAATTGAAAAATTTTGAAAATAAAGAAAAATTTGAGTTGAAATGATCATGTAAATACAATGTAGTCTGTATAAATGCCTCAATTAGATTCTTGCTGGATTTACACTCTTATAAGCTTCACAATGCACAGATGCACATTGGAAACTTAACTGTGAGGCATGCAACTTGATTGACCTTGACCTTGGCCTAGTTAATCTGATTTGATGAACCTGATAGATGGATACCTTTGGCATGTTTATTCAAAAAAAAAAAAAAAAAAAAAAAAAAAAAAAAAATAATAATAATAATAATGACCAGTTGACGTTCGTAGCCTTTCCAGCTCGAGCTATTAAGCCCTAGGAGTGTCTCTACACTTAGCACCCTAAAGCCATCTGGTTTGGGAGTTGTTGGCCTAACGCTTGCTACAAGGGTTGGTTAGAAAGCTTAAGGGACTTAAACATTGCACGGTCATTCAAAAAAAAAAAAATTAAACTAGTAATAAACATGGTTCGTTGGAGTTCGTAGCCTTTCCAACTTGAGCTATTAAGCCCTATGGAGTGTCTCTACACTTAGCACCCTAAAGCCATCTGGTTTGGGAGTTGTTGGCCTAACGCTTGCTACAAGGGTTGGTTAGAAAGCTTAAGGGACTTCAGCATTGCACAACCATTCTATGTTTCGCTTATGTGTTGAAATAAATTGTTAACAAGCAACAAAAGTTGTCTTGAAAATAAAATCATGCCTTAGGGACTTCATGTAAAAGGGAATTCATTGACTTGAAAACTTGTACCTTGGAATTGGAAAAGAAAGTAAAAGCCGCATGTTGAGAATCCAATTCACTTTCACTGAAGCGAGAGTTGATTTCCATTCAAGAGATGATAATTGAGTTATTTATATAGACTTTGATGTTGATGCATGTATGTAGAAATGTATTTAGCCAATTTTTGTATCAATGCTTCATATATGCAAGGTAGTTTTCCCAATGACCCCATCTCCAGTTTTTGTCTGTTTCAAGTTGTATTTGAGCTATGTTTCTATCTCATTTTACCATGGAGGATATTTTTTGTAGTAGCATGCCCATGGTTGTCTTTTCTTTATGTTTTTCATTGTAGTTTTGCTAAGGGACTAGCAAAATGTAAGTTTGGGGGTGTGATAAGCGCCGAATAATGTATATTCAAGCGCCCTAAATTACATTAACAAAGTCCAGTTATTAATTATTTTATGTAGATTAACTCCAATTCTATGTTTTTATGCATTTTCAGGTTCATTGGCCAAAATGGAACAAGAATAAGGCCTTGTGGAGTCTTGAGCAACAAAAGGGTGCCAATGCTGAATTCTGGCAGCAGTAGAGCCTGGTCTTTGCTTGCCATTTTGACCTTCCAAACTTGAGAACTGGACTTCCCTCATAACATGAAAGATTTATAGCTCTGAATCAGCTTTCCAAATCTTCAAGTGGTTCATCATTCGGAGTTCGGAGCAGAGAGTTATGATCTTCACAACAGAGGTGCGCAGAACTGCCTGGCAGCACTGATGTACTGCCTTTCTCCCCATTTTCGACCAACCAGACTTGAGATTTGGGTCTTCATCAAAACATGAAGTTTTTAAAGCACTGAATCAGCTCTCCAAAGCTTCAAATAGATCGTCATTCGGAGTTCGGGGCACAAAGTTATAGCAGTTTTCCCAAAATAGGTCAGCACTGAGCAAGAGGAGCATGTTGCACATTGCACTAAGTTAGAGTGCTCGAAGTCACCAAGCGTGCGCTCGAAAATCAGGCAGAATGCCCTTCGGAAATGGCTCATTTCAGCCCACTTGCACATTGGTTTCCTCAATGCCATCTTCCCTCTTTATGAAGTGGTTGGAGGTGTTCCTTGGAGGAGAGAGGGTATGGTTGGAGCATAAAAGGCTACCCAAAGGCCACATATATCATTAAGCTTTATCTTGAGCAAGAGAAAGGAGAGAGAAGAGAGAAGGAGAGGGTGTTCTTGAGTGCTACAGTAGGAGCTCGAAAATGGAGATGAGGATGATGCTTCTTCCTTCTTCTAGCTCACCAATGGGTAACTAAACCTCATCTAGGGAGGTGATGAAACCCCTCCCTTGTAAGCATGTGTTAGTATAGTTTATTTTTGGGGATTACAATGTATTTTTGATAGTCTTTCCATGGTCAAGAGCCTCACTTTTGTTGTAATGAATGTTGAATGTTTTAAATGATTATTGTGAGTTATTCATCTTGTCTTGGATGGTTGCCTTTCTTAATCATATTGCTTGCACTTCCATGGTGACAATGGAAGTTAGATCATGGAATGGTTTTAATGGCATGGAGTTGGAGAACCTAGATAGTTCATGGCTTAGGGTTTCCCTTTGATGGGCTATACTTGATTCTTAGCTTTATGTGCATTCACCATTTAAATTAGGGCTTGATAATCCTTGGCTTAGTAAGCATGTTCTAAGCTACATTTTAGTTTAGGTAGTTGATCATGTGAACCTTTGATGGTTTATTCTTGCCTTTCTAATTAAATGAACCTCTTAAGGATATTATAGCAACCTAGTATTGTTATGTATCATGACTATCATATATGTTGTTTTCCCCTTAAATTAATCTTAACCTAGCATGTGTAGAGGGATGGAGGTGGATTCATTTCCCTAGCCTTCTTTACTTGTACTCACTCCCTTGAATTCTTGCAATTTACTGTTTTATGCACTTTTAATTTCCTAGCTTAAGTGACATCCAACAAAACCTCTATACACCCTTCATCATTCTAAGAATGATTCTAGACATTTAGGTTGTATTAGACTAGCGTAGTCCCTGTGGTTCGACTTACCCGACCAATAGCCCTATTTTACAATGATTCGTGCTATTGCGAAGGTTGATGTTAATTGACCAACCGATCATTAGGTCTTCTTAACCTTCGCTTCTGAATCAGCCAAAGTGGACTTATCATCACAGCGCAAGAGGAGGAGTAGATATTGCTGGTTCAAGAGCACCACCTGCTAAGATTAGCGATCGGGTGAGTTCCTCTTCTTAACAGTTTTTATCACATTTGATCCCCAATGATTAATATTTACACTAAAACACTGGTTTGTTTTAGATGTTCTCTTTTAGATTATACAATCCATAAATTGTATGTTCTTCAAAACCATCCACTGTCTTCACCTCTCAAATCCATCTCAACTTTCACAAATCAACACTCTTTTACTGTCAATTACCTCATCAATTCATGTGGGTTCAGTCCACAAACTGCTATTTCTACCTCCAAAAAAATCAATTTTAAAACCCTAGACAAACCAGATTCAGTTCTCAACTTCTTCATGAACCATGGATTCAGCAAAACCCAGATCTCAACTCTCATCAGAAAATGCCCACAATTTCTCACATATGATCCCAATAAAACCCTTTTGCCCAAATTTGACTTCTTTTACTCCACTGGCATTTCCAGCAATAACCTCGCCAGGACATTATCCACTAACCCAAAGATCTTGACTCATAGCTTGAAAAACCAAATCATCCCATCTTACAATTTGTTGAAGAGTTTTTTTCATTCCAATGAAAAGTTTATGGCGACCTTTAAACGATATCCTGAGATTTTAGGTCACAATTCTATTATATTTCCCAACATTGACGTTTTGAGACAACATGGTGTGCCAGAATCGAATATTGTGTACTTACTTACTACTCAGCCTAGGTCCTTCATAATAAAGCTGGATAGATTCAATGAGGTAGTGGAGGATGTTAAGAAAAGGGGTTTCAACCATTCAAACATCAATTTTGTTATAGCGGTCCAGGTATTGTTGGCATTGAGCACATCAACATGGAAAAGGAAGATGGAGGTTTATGAGAAGTGGGGTTGGTCTGAGGAAGAAATAATGTTGGCTTTTACAAAATTTCCGTGGTGTATGATGATATCTGAGGAGAAGATAATGGCGGTGCTGAATTTTTATGTGAACACAATGGGTTGGGAGTCTTCCCTAATTGCCCATCGTCCATTATTAATGTCACTGAGCTTGGGTAAGAGGATAATTCCCAGGTGTTCAGTACTTCAAGTTTTGTTGTCCAAAGGTTTGATTAAGATTCCCATTAGCTTACATACATTGTTGGAGTCCACAGAGAGTATGTTCCTCAATAAGTATGTGACCTGTTATGAGGAAGCTCCTCAGTTGTTGAAACTATATCAAGAAAAATTGGACCTTTCAAAATTACATGGTCATGATTATGAAGGTAAGAGTGGAACATATCAGTTGTAAAATATATTCTTCCTAACTGAAGTGGCTTACACATCCCCTGTACTTCTTCTCGTTTCCACCCTCTTCTCTCACAGCTCCACCTTTTCGAATTAGGTCTTTATGAATGGTTTTTTTTTTCTTTGGATTATAATTATCTTAGTTTGATTGTTTTGGCAAGTATTTATTCAATTTCATTAGGAAATGTGTAGAGATTTTTTGTTGCACTAATATATCTTTCTTTAATCATGTATGATTTAGCTGAATGATATATATAATTATATATATATATTTTGGTACAACTCTGTCTTTGCGAGATCTTCTTAACCTTTAATTTGAAGCATAGACAAACTAAATTACTGTCATGTTCCAGGTAGATTGCTGATTTAATTCAATTCTACTTACTAAGCAGCTGCTGTGGGATTTAGTGATAATCTGCGTATAGCTATTCTTCATGTTCGTGTTAATGGGCCTTTAGACATGCATGTATCATACAGTTTGATTTCAGGGTAGTTTTAGAGGTTGCCATGTGATGTAACCTGTGAGGCCACCACAAGCTAAAAGTTTTAAGAGATACTTCCTGTCACACTACAAAAACCATTGTAATTTCACCTCACGGTGCCACCGAATTTCTGGTTTGTAGATTTATATTTCTATTCATTGATATCAAAGATCGGTGTATCTTGTACAGTTCCTTAGCATGCACCCTGTAGGGTTAAGTAACTATAGATATTAGATAATGAAATAGTTTGGAAATGTTTCTGAAATAGGAAGCAGATGAATTCAACAATCTAGCCTTACAATCCCTTGTTGCTTTAGTGGGCAGTTCTTGGCAAAATAGTTGTTTCATAAGCTACATTCTTAGAAATGCTTTAAACTTGGTTTGGAGATCCCTCGGTCTGTTCTTATATTCTAATGCAGTTTTGCATAACTCTCTAGTGGGTCTTGGGGTTCTCTTAGGAAGTTTGCTGATACTTGACAGGCTGGAGCTTTCATGGATAAGATGCTGGAAGCTGACTAGCTAAATTACAGATTATTATTACCTAATTTTTTTTGTAAAGCAATTAGAGAGGATTTGATTCTTACAGGGTTGAGTACTTCATGTTGTTCTGAATGAGAGTCGTTGAAACTTATGTGTGCCATCAAATATTTTTGGGCTGGGGTTAGTCAGTCTTTAGGAGATTGCTACTTTACCTTTTCTAGAGATATATATATATTTTTCAGCTTTTGGTTCATAAGCAGTTATTTGTTGCTGATTTTAGAACACAAATCATTTAAAAGCCAAGGCTATGTTGGCTTTAGAATAAAAAATTGCTCTGGTGTCTCACCATTATCTCTCTGACCATTTTCAAAGGAATCACATTACCGTTTTGGTGTGAATAGTAAAGTTCTTGTTTTCCATTTATTTCAAAACAACTTGTGGAAAATTTTCAATGAGTTTTTCTTGCAGCATCTAGCTGTGGAGGCACAGGTGTTGCAGGTTCACGGAGCACATGGCTACCTTGTCGGGATTTCCTTCCCTGCCCTTGGAGAGAATGTGTAGATATAATTTAAAAGATTTATTAATTGGGATTAATGAATTTTATTTTATTTTTAAATGATTTATTTTATTTAATTGAGTGTTTAGATTAATTGTCTCATTTTAGTTAGATTTTATTTTGTGATTATATATTTATTGAATTGATATGATGATTGATGTGTATGTATTTAATTATTGATTGAATTGTGGCGTATTGATATGATGTGACTTAGTTGTAAATTCTTATTTGTTTATGTGTTTTATGTAATTAGTATTTTAATTTAAGTATTTATTTAATTATTTTATTTATTTAGATTAATTGGTTTGGGCTTAAGGAATGTTGGACCAAAGGATATGGTCTTGGGCTTGGATGAAGCCTTGATGGGTTAATTAATAAAGGCCAATAGGTATTTGATTATTTAAATAATCATTTTTATTGATTTAATTATATATAAATATAATTAATTGATAAGTGTTACAGAAGGATATAGGTTTATGGATATATATATATATATATAGGATTTAGGATTTAATTAACCGATGGTTAATTATGGGAGATATATATATGCATAAGTAATATAATATATGTTTATATATATATATTATATTATTTAAATAATATTAGTTTATTATTTTATTTTGTAATCCTACTAGGAATAGGATTTAGGGTTTAATGTGTATAAATATACACATAAGGTTTAGGGTTAAGAAGTTTTCATGTTAGAAAAATAAAAGAGACAAAGAGGGAAGAAGAAGAGAGAACGGACAAGGAGTAGGCCGGATCTGAGAAAGCGGATACCGAAATTGGAAGAGACAATCAAAGGTTAAAGCTTCGATTTCGTTTCGAAATCTTCAGGCAAGCTGTCTCTAACTCTTCTCTTAGGACCCATAAATTTATCACCTTGGGTGCCAGAATTTAGTTTAAAATCATTAATGAAATCATGTTAGATCGAAATAAAAAAAAAAACATAAATTATTATATTTAATTTGTGGATTCGTTGGATTTTAATTATGTATATAGGTGTGCATATTGTTTAAAATTAAGTATAGGTTTGATTTGTGAACCAAGAGGGTTAATTATAATTTCTGGAATTTTTCTAGGATTTCTGGAAATTTTTTTATATTTTTCTGGATTTTATTTATATTTTTCTGATATTTTAGAAATTATATATATAATTATTTATGTGTATTATTATATATATATATATACACTGTATACACTGGAGGCAGCATCTGTAGAATCGGCGCCTCAAAAGAGGGTGTGATCCAGTGCGGCGCGGTACAAAGAACTATGGTGTGCCGCGGATCTGACCCTTGGATGCGGTTTGATCATAGGGAGAGGGATCTGGTGTGATGCGGTATAAAGAACTTCAGTGCGCCTCAAATAAAGACCATGGGATGGTCATGATGACCAGCGAATAATCCAGTGTTAGTGTATACATGGGAAAGGTTGCAATCGCTGATCTGGGCTGTTGATTAAAGTAGATGGGTGTGGGATGATTCAGTGTGGTACGGTTCATAGGAAGATGGTACAAATGCGGATCTGGCGGTTAGATTTAGCTGAAGAAGGGCGGCCGATCCTGTGCATCGCGCTGCATAAAGAAGAATGCATCCAGCGAATGCAGGTGTGCCACATCAGTCAGAGAGAAGTAAGAGGCGTGAAGGAAGCTGCCAGCTAGTGGTTGCGCGTGGGATGTGTTTAGGAGCTTGTGGTGGCACGTGGGGGCGCGTGAGATACTGTTTAGGGTTCTATTAAGGTCCTGTGAGGTCCGGTGAATTTTCAGAATTTGTTTTAAGCTTATTGGGGTTGAAAACAACCACCAGAGGAAGTGTCTTGGTATTCTGAAAACCATAGAGTGTTATTACGAGGATTAGTAGCATTTCTTTTGAGTAAATATAATAATTTATTATATTGTTATGGAAGGATGTGTATATATGTATATATAAGTATATATATATATTTACCTATATGTGTGTATAAAAGGGATTTTATTAAGTTATGATTAGTAAGGAAGGAAGGATGTATATATATATATATATATGATTGAAATAACCAAGGGTTATTAGGGAAAGATTATACACATATATATTATATTAAATATGTGTATATATATGTATGTGAATTAAGATTATTAGTATTATTCTTTCTTATTTGATATATTTCGATAGACTGGTTATTAAATTAGGTATGTGCTTATAATCAGTAGGGGATATCTATGTATAAATTAGTTATTGTTAAACTTACAATTTGTACATGGATGAGTTGCCATAGGCGTAATTATATTGCTTAGGTATTTGTATGAAAAAAAATATATACATCGGAAGCATGGATGAGTTGCTTTCTTTAAATCGTTTGGATTTGGCTTCATAAAATGAAACTTCTTTCTCTTAAATTCACTACATACAAGTTGTACAAGTTGAACCCAATTTCTTCCAAAGTCGTTCACGATATTATGAATTTCTTCCAAAGTCATTCACGTTCATATGATTTTTTACACTAAATCAGAATTGAAACAAATAACTTCAACTTTGACTTGGTAGATCTTAATTGGCCTGGTATCTATTTTTTCTTGCTGACATTGGCACACACCATCAATAAATCCATGGTGTCTACAAATGAGTAAATTTCACTCACACCTCTTTTACGTTTCATAATTTCACTTACAACCCTTAAACCTCCATCTTCCTTTACCATTTTGATTTGCTCATTACCGTCAATAAATCTGTGGTGTAAGTGAAATTTTGACAAAGATCAGGAATGTTAATAAAATTTATCCTAAAAGATATGATCCTCGTTAAAGAGTCTCCAATTGAATGTGTAATTTTTTTTAAAAGTAATGAAAAATTATATGATGAATTTACAACTTACATGAAAATGTGTGAGCAACTTGATTAGGAATTATTTAGAGTATTTTTATTTTCTTTGGGTCACTTCACATTTATGACTACTTCAACTCTAAATATTAAACTTAAAAAAAAAAAAAAATCCTAATTGAAATTTATTGTCCATTTTGGTCCATTGTGTTAGTAGGCTTTAGTATCAACCCAACCAACCACTATATGTGTGGAGAAAAGCCCAGCCCAAATCCCAAATTTTTAGGTTAAATGCAACTTTGGCTGCTGCTATAAAAATACAAAGTGAACTCACTCGATCATATCGTCGTCACGGTATGAGAGAAGGTTCAAAAGCACCTGCTAAGATTAACGCCGATCGGGTGAGTTGTCCTTACATTCACAATCACCTTTCATTACCAATGATCTATATGTACACTAAAACACTCTTAGTTGTTCGTTTTAGATACTCTTCTCTTTTCGATTCAACAATCCATAAACTGTATGCTCTTCAAACCCATCATCCACTTTCTTCATCTCTCAAATCCATCTCAACTTCCACTAATCAACACTCTTTTACAGTCGATTACCTCATCAATTCATGTGGGTTGACTCCACAAACTGCTATTTCTGCTTCCAAAAAAATCAATTTTAAAACCCCAGACAAACCAGATTCAGTTCTCAACTTCTTCATGAACCATGGATTCAGCAAAACCCAGATCTCAACTCTCATCAGAAAACGCCCAACACTTCTCTTATCGGATCCCAATAAAACCCTTTTGCCCAAATTCGACTTGTTTTACTCCACTGGCATTTCCACCACTGACCTCGCCAAGACATTATCCACTAACCCAACGATATTGACTCATAGCTTGGAGAACCATATCATCCCATCTTACAATTTGTTGAAGAGTTTTTTTCATTCCACTGATAAGTTTATGGCGGCCTTTAAACGATATCCTGATATTTTAGGTCACAATGCTATTATATTTCCCAACATTGACGTTTTGAGACAACATGGCGTGCCAGAATCGAATATTGTGTTCTTACTTAGTACTCAGCCTAGGGCATTCATAAAAAAGCCAGACAGATTCAATGAGGTAGTGGAGGATGTTAAGAAAATTGGTTTCAACCCTTCAAAATTCCAGTTTGTTATGGCGGTTAAAGCATTGAGGTCAATGAGCAAATCAACATGGAAAAGGAAAATGGAGGTTTATGAGAAGTGGGGTTTGTCTGAGGAAGAAACAATGTTGGCTTTTACAAGACAACCGGGCTGTATGATGATATCCGAGGAGAAGATAACGGCGGTGCTGAATTTTTATGTGAACACAATGGGTTGGGAGTCTTCCATAATTGTCCATCGTCCAGAATTAATGTCGTGCAGCTTGGGTAAGAGGATAATTCCCAGGTGTTCAGTACTTCAAGTTTTGTTGTCCAAAGGTTTGATTAAGAAACCCGTTAGTGCAGACAGATTATTGAGGTCCACAGAGAGTTTGTTCCTCAAGAAGTTTGTGACCTGTTACGAGGAAGCTCCTCAGTTGTTGAAACTATATCAAGAAAAATTGGAGCTTTCAAAATTACATGGCCATGATTATGGAAGTAAGAGTGGAACTTATCAGCTGTAGAATATCTACTCCCTAACTCTAGTGGCTTACACATCCCCTTTTCGTTTTTTTTTTTTTTTTTGTGCAACTCCTACTCTGCTAAATCTTTTTAATCTTTAATTTGAAGCATAGATAACTCACTATCGGTCATGTTCATGTTAATGGGCCTATGGAAATGCATGATAATACAATTTGATTTCAGAGTGGTTTTAGATGTTGGCACTTGGAGTGGGGTAGCATAAGTCATTTCTAGTGAAGGGGTGAGCGGTTCTCGCAGATCTGCTACCCCGAGGACTGAAATGTGTGGAATAGTAGAGGATGGTTGAGGATTATGTGCTAACCACAAGCTAAATAGTTTGAGCAATATTTCCTGTTACACTATAAAATCATGATGATTGCACCTCACAGTGCCACTGAATTTCTGGTTTGTAGTTGATGTATATTCTGTTCATTGATATCAAATACTGATGTTTTTGTTCTTTATCTTAACTCAACTGAAGTGACTTACACATCTCCGTTCTTTTACTTGCTCTCATTTCCACCCTCTGCAAGTGAAGTAGGTATTTGTGAACACAATTTTTTTTTTGAATTTTGTGATCTTAATTCAATTTATTTGGCAAGTATTTATTCGATTTCGTTACGAAATGCTTAGAGATTTTTGTGCATCACTAATTCACGCATTCTTTTTCCTGTTAATTATGCACGCATTTTAGTAGAATGATTTGTTATTTTTGCACGACTCCGACATTGCGAGATCTTCTTGATCTTTAATCAATTTGAAGCATAGATGAACTAAATTATAGTCATGTTACCGGAAGATAATTCCCTAAGCAGATGCTGTGGGATTTGATAACAATGTGCGCTTGTTTATTCTTCATTATATATTATTCACCCTTAAAAAATCTCATTCTCAGTCATTTCTCCATTTTTCATGTTTCACTCTCTTCCACTGAGTTTGTGTCTCCCAAAGCCCATTTGTTTCTCTTCTATGTCTCTTGTCTTGAACTTTATATATACATTCATACATGTATATATGTCTCACAACATGGTTCAGAATGTCAGCTTTGTTGGAACGCGTTTCTTAAAGCACCAAAAAATAATAATAATAATAATAATAATTTTCCTTTTGGACATATAGGAATTGATCACCCATAATTGCTTTTTTTATTTATTTTTTTTTTTGTTAAGAAAAAAAGTTAAATGTAAACACACATGCTCGTAAAAATAATAAGACCAGGTAACGTTTTGGATTTTTTTTCAAAACGGTAACAAAATGCGTTTAGTAAATTTATTTTGTCTTTTTGTTGATGCGTGTTAGATACTTTGGATTCATATTTTTAAAATATATTTTTTAATTTCTAACGTGCATGGATATTTCTTAGACAAGTACTTCAAAGTACATTTTTAACAAGATTTGAATATTAAAATGTAACTTTTCCAACAATAATAACATCATATGATTATTTTTTAAAATTCAAAAATTATTAAGTGATAATTAGGGATGCTTGTTTTATGTATTGTGAAACGAACTTTTTTGTTATACTAATAATTGCATTTAGATTTATAATATAACAGTGAATTAATTGAAAAATGTATTTTTTATATTTAAAAATGTATTTATTATTATTACTTTTTGCTTTATCCCAATGTACGTCCATATCGTATTGATGGTATCTTTATCCCGTATCAGTGCTTCTTAACTTCCACCTCATTAATAATTATTAAGATAATTTAAAGATGGTAGGAATTCTACTATTCGATGTATGATGGATTTTTGGATGCGTGTGGTGTTATTTATTTATTTAATTTTCTTTTTCTGTGAGTGTAGTAGTGTTTGGCTAGGCAAGTGTGGGAACTATAATTTGCTATTTGATGCAATCTGTGGAGAAAATAAAGAAAAACTTTGTGTATGATGAGTTACCGCGTGATGTGTCATTAACTTGAGTCCAAGTATTTAGAGTCTATTTATTTATTTATTAATTCCCTAGTTTAATATTTAGAGTTGCATGGTAATAAATGTGAGCTGACTCAAAGAAAGAAAAAACAAAAAAAGAAAAGAAAAGACTGGGGTAAAAGTAACACGCAAAACCTAAGAGGTTCAAGTCTCCATCCACGAAGGCATGGGTGCGGGGGATTACTACTTAAGAAAAAAAAAAGTGACATGAAATATTTGGTGTTAGAAGCCTCTTGTTTCTGTTTTTTTTATTGAAGTTTGTTTTCCTCCGCAAAAGAAAAAAAAGAAAAAAGTTTATTGCCTTAAGCCACCATGTATGGAGCCGGACCTACTCTTGATTAGGTAAACTATAATTTTTCTGGATTTGAATAATTTTTTTTTAAAAGGAAGGGTAATAGATGATCTCAATAAAAATCACCTGATCTCAAATGAAAGATAGTGGGCCTAAATTTGTTGTCCATTATGTTAGGATGCTTTAATCTCAATCCTATATGTCTAGAGACAAGCCCAAGTCCAAATCCTAAATTTTTAGGCTAGAAGTTACTTAGGCTGCTGCTATAAAAATAGAAAGTGAACGAACTCATTTCATCATCACGGTCCGAGAGAAACAACGATCAGGTGAGTTCCTCTCATAAGCCTCACAATCACCTTTCATTATCAATTTATCAATGATTTATGCATACACTAAATCACTGGCAGTTCGTTTTAGATGGTCTTGTTTTTCAGATTCAACAATCCATAATAAACTATTTGCTCTTCAAACCCATCATCCACTTTCTCCATCTCTCAAATCCATCTCAACTTCCACAAATCAACACTCTTTTACAGTCAATTACCTCATCAATACATGTGGGTTTACTCCACAAACTGCTATTTCTGTTTCCAAAAAAATCAATTTTAAAACCCTAGACAAACCAGATTCAGTTCTCAACTTCTTCAAGAACCATGGATTCAACCAAACCCAGATCTCAACTGTCATCAGAAAACACCCAGAACTTCTCAGGTATGATCCCAATAAAAAACTTTTGCCCAAATTCGACTTCTTTTACTCCACTGGCATTTCCTGCACTGACCTCGTCCACATAGCATCCAGTTGCCCAACAATATTAACTCATAGCTTGAAGAACCAAATCATCCCATCTTACAATTTGTTGATGAGTTTTTTTCATTCCAATGATAAGTTTATGGCGGCCTTTAAACGATTCCCTGGGATTGTAGGGCGTGATCACAATGCTATGACATTTCCCAACATTGAAATTTTGAGACAACATGGTGTGCCAAATTCCAACATTGTGTAATTACTTACTACTCGGCCTAGGTCATTCATGCTAAAGCCTGATAGATTCAATGAGGTAATGGAGGATGTTAAGAAAATGGGTTTCAACCCTTCAAAATTCCAGTTTGTTAAGGCGGTTCAAGCATTGAGGTCAATGAGCAAATCAACGTGGAAAAAGAAAATGGAGGTTTATGAGAAGTGGGGTTTGTCTGAGGAAGAAACAATGTTGGCTTTTACAAGACAACCGGGCTGTATGAGGATATCCGAGGAGAAGATAACGGCGGTGTTGAATTTTTGTGTGAACACAATGGGTTGGCAGTCTTCCGTAATTGCCCATCGTCCAACATTAATGACACTGGGCTTGGGTAAGAGGATAATTCTCAGGTGTTCAGTACTTGAAGTTTTGTTATCCAAAGGTTTGATTAAGAAACCCATTAGCTTACGGGCATTGTTGGTGTCCACAGAGAGTATGTTCCTCCACAAATTTGTGACCTGTTATGAGGAAGCTCCTCAGTTGTTGAAACTATATCAAGAAAAATTGGAGCTTTCAAAATCACACGGCCATGATTATGGAAGTAAGAGTGGAACATATCAGCGGTAGAATATTACTCCCTAACTCTAGTGGCTTACACAACCCCTATTCTTTTATGAACTCCTTGTTTTTTTTTTGGATTGTTATGATCTTAAGTCAATATGTTTTGGTAAGTATTTATTGGATTTTGTTACAAAATGCCTAGACAACATTAATATATCTTTTATTAATTATGTATGCATTTAACTGAATAAGTGATTTTTTATTTTTATTTTATGTGCAACTCCGACTCTGTGAGATCTTCTAATCTTTAATTTGAAGCATGGAAAAACTCAATAACCGTCAGAAAGTGATATTTTAATTCAGTTCCGCTTATATGTAACATTTTTATTTTGTCAATTCCTTGAGAAGCTGCTGTGGGAATTCATAATAATATGTGCATAGCTATTCTTCATGTTCATGTGATTGTTTATCTTTGGGATTATACAGATTGTATAGTTATAAGATTAAATTATTTACCCCCTAATTTAGGATTAATTAGTAGGTAATTAATTTTCTGATTATTATATAATTAATTACCTATTTTATTTAGGTCTTATTTTATAAATTAAATGTAACACCATTAGTAAATTTATCCAATATAGTTTTAATTATCATATTCTTACATTGAATTTCAAGATGGTATCAGAGCCTACCAAAAAAAAGGCTTTTAATCACTTTGAACCATACCTCTGAAATTAAGTCAGACCTAAACCCTCGAAAAAATAATTTTTTTCTTCTTCCACTTTATTCCTTCACAAATCGCACTAGCACAACACAAGAATCGTCACCGATGATTACTTGCAACCAGCCACCACTCCTCACGCCGCTACTCTCTGCAATTGTTGCCGTCGCGGCTATCGCCGGATCTGCCACCGTACCTGCTGTTGTTGGTCTCTACCATCGTGGCAGTCGCCGGATCTGCTCCTTCTCTCGTCGCGAGCTCCCACCAAGCACCACCGCAAGCCGCCTCCATTCTGTTAAAATATATATATATATATAAAAGGTTGCCGCCGCCGTCGTCATCACAAAGTCAAAGTTGCTGCCGTCGTCATCACCAGTATCTAGTGAACCTAGAAAGCAAATTGGACTTGCCAACACTCGAATCTCCGATCAGAATCACTAAGTCACACTGATGGTTACTTTTCATCATTGATGCCACTGACCTTTAATAGCATATTCATGTTTTTTACTTGCCAGTTTTTATTTGAAGCCAATTTTGTTTTATTTTTTAGTTTGGTATTTGTCTAATTCAAAAAAAAAAAAAAAAAAATTTTGAATCATCTGGGATGAAATCAGCTCCTATTTTTGTTCAATCTGAAGGTGTTTTTAATGTAAGGATCAGTCTTACTGACTCAAAATATGCCTCTGAAGCTTTAGTCATGATAACTTGAAACTAGTTTAAGCAAAACTGGCAGGACCATACTAAGCCCAATCAACCTAAAGCCACTAACGGCGCAGACAAGTCTACTTACAAATGCACCCATTGCAATCAAACTGGTCATACCAAAAGTCGCTGTTTCAAACTTGTGGGATATCCGGAATGGTGGGATCATAGCCGTTGGAAGAAGAATTCGACGAAGATTTCCACTGCAGTAGTTGTTAAGAAAGAAGATAATGGTGATAAGGTTTTAAATATTTCTACACTTGTTGCTAATAGTGCATGGATAATTGATTCTGGTGCCACAGATCATATGATATTTGAATCTAGACAGGTCTCACATCTTAATTCCTCCTTGTAAAAATTTGTTTCTACTGCCAATGGTTCTTCGACCTCAGTTATTGGGGAAGGATCTTTGACACTCACTGATCATCTACATTTAGATTATGTGTTAGTTGTTTCATCTTTAAATTATAATCTTTTGTCAATTTCCCAACTAACCACAACCTTATTTTGTGTTATAATTTTTTGACCTGATTTTTGTGTGTTTAAGGATATCCAAACAAAGCAGACGATTGATTGTGGTATTAGGTGAGGGAAGCTGTATTACTTGGATTTGATGTCAAAAAGTTCCGCCAAGCTACGACAAGCATTGACAGTGAATGGTTCTGAGGGGGAGAAAAAGAAATCTAAAATCTGGCTATGGCATCGACGTTTGGGGCATGCTTTCTTTGGTTATCTAAAAAAATTATTTCCTAGTTTGTTTGCAAAATTTGATGTTTCTTGTTTCTGCTGTGATGTTTGTGAACTAGCAAAGAGCCACCGTGCTTCGTTTCCATTATGTTTGACTAAAAGTCCACTTCCTTTTATGGTTATACATTACGATGTTTGGGGTCCGTCCAAAGTCCTTACTTTAGGTGGATCACATTGGTTTGTTACTTTTATTGATGACTGTACCAGGATGACTTGGTTGTGCTTGATGAAGTCCAAAGGTGAAGTAAACTTATTGCTTCACACGTTTCATAAGATGGTTGAAACTCAATACAATGCACATGTTCAGGTTATTCGTAGTGACAATGGTGGAGAACATCAGAGTTTTAACCTTTAGCAGTATTTGAAAGCACATGGAATTATTCATCAAACCACTTGTTCCAATACACCACAGCAGAACAGGGTTGCAGAGTGAAAAAATCGATATTTGTTGGAGGTGTTCGTGCTTTATTGATAGAAGCTCATATGTTGTTATCGTATTGGGGAGAAGTACTTACCTCTGCAGCATATCTAATCAATCAAGTACCTTCCAGCTCTATTGACTTCCAGACACCATTGCAGGCTTTCACTGACGCAGTTGTTACCCCAAACCGTCTCAAATCTACCTCTTCATGTCTTTGGTTGTGCAGCATTTGTACACCTCCATAAGCATCAACGCAACAAGCTAACTCCTCGAGCATTGCGGTGTTTTTTTCTCGGATATGCTACTCATCAAAAGGAGTATTGCTGTTATCACCCTCCAACTCAACCAATGTTTATCACAATGGATGTTTTCTTCCATGAAGACTCGATATATTTTTCCTCTACGTCTGAACTTCGGGGGGAGTACCAGAAAGAAATTAAAACTCTAGATTATGATTATCACACTTTTGAGTACGGCGATTCTAGTGTTGATGACTCACAAGTTGGACCAGCTAATCAGGAATTGGGCGAATTGGATTCGAGTGGTATAAGTTTGGATCAAAGTGGTGATGAATGCCCAGAAATGGAAAGTATGGTGCCAACCCCACCGTCATATGAGTTTGAGTCCCTCGTAACTAATATATCATACCAATCGCCTGCTGAGGATGTTCTTGATTTAGTGCCTAAGTCACTCAGAAAATAATTACCACAACGTCACACTAGAGGTATTCCTAAACCCACATATGAACCCGAACTTTCTAGTAAAGTTAAGTATCCTATGAGTCATTATGTGTCGAACCATCATTTGTCAGAATCAAATTTGTCATTTGTAAATCAATTATCTACTGTATCTATTCCTAATAATCTGCAGGAAGCCTTAGCTGACCCTAGGTAGAAAACAGTTATGAATGAGGAGATGAAATCCATGCAGAAAAATGAAACTTGGGAACTCATTGATCCTCCACCAGGAAAGAAACTAGTTGGATGTTGATGAATTTATACTGTGAAGTATAAAGCCGATGGCACAGTTGAACGTTTTATAGCAATGTAATCAATTACACAGAGACGTTCACACCTGTAGCTAAAATCAACACAGTTCAAGTCTTGTTGTTTTTAACTGCGAACTTGGATTGGCCATTGGAACAATTCAATGTGAAGAATGCCTTTCTACATGGTGAATGTAATACCCCTAGTTTTAAAAAGGATAAAATTGAAATTTCAGGTATTTTTATTTCATTTTTTATGTGACTAGTTGTTTAAGTGTGTAATTGTTTGACTTTGTTATTTGATTTAATTGTGGTTTAATTGTTTAATTATGGAGGTATACTTGCATTAATTGTTTTCTGGTGTTTTTGAATTGTTTTATTTTTTTTAAAAATGTGTTTGGTTTTTTTTTTCATTAGTTGAAGTAATTTAGTAATTTTAATTTTAATAAAATAAGTTAATTAATTTTTGTTGGATTACGTTAATAATTATTTAGGTTTTCTGTTAAGAGGTCCAGTAGTTGGAAGCAGACAAGGGTTATAACGTGGGTTTTATCCTATGGCCGATTAAGGTTTAATCTAGGTTTTCTGTATTAGATTATTATTAGAATTAGGTTTTATCTATGCCTATATATATACGGTTATAATCTGAAGGAAGGGTTGGAGAACCCTATTCAAGTATCAAAACACAGAGAGATACAGAGTGAGGTTTTGAGAGAACAGAGCAAGTTTGTGAGCTTTTCGACTGAAGCTTCAAGGTCAAACCTAGGAGAAGCGAAGAACAGAAGTAATAGGAGGCTAAGCAGTATTTCAGTGTGGCCAGAACAGAGGAAAGCAGACCAACAATTACAGAGGCAAGTTCTGATCTTCCTCCTTCCATCTGGCTTGTGTTCTGTGCACCTAGGTAGCCTCTAGGATTTAACAAATCATTAACTGGAACTTCATATTATTGTATGCTATATTAATGGTATGTTTGTGTGGAAATTAAAACTGATATAATTTTTGCATGACTGTTTCTAGTTCCGTTCTTTAAAGCATGATAGTTCTATTGTATTTGGTGTACTGTACTTGTTTTTGTTTACTGTAAACAAACTATGGGGATGTTAATGGGATGTTATAGGACTCCTAAGTTCAGGGGTAATGAAGGACAGAGGGGATGGATTAGAACTGATCCTACCAATTAGTTTCAGTATTGTAATTTAATCATCTTAGTTTAATGGCTTTGTTTAAATATCTGCAATTGATTTCAAATATTGTAACAAACTAATGGGATGCTACTGGATGTTAATTAAACTCCCAAGATCAGATTTAAATACCAATTGAGTGTTAGGAATAGACTAGAGATGAAGAGAACGGATTGAAATAGAGCAGGAACGGATTGAAGCTTGCAGAGGGGGAAAGAGACGGCTTCACGGAGGAGAGAGACGTCTCCCACCGACCATAGAGCCGGCTCCAAGGATCCATAGAGCCGGCTCCATGCATAAAAAAAGGCTCTAAGAGCCTGCTCCTTAGAAACTTTGAGCAGGCTCTTTTCTGAAATTCATTTTTGATTTATTTTTAAGGCGTAAAAACTTTACTGTTGCAGCACTTGGGTTCATGAACAATTTTGAAACATTAATGGGGGTTTTCAATAATTATTCTAAGATGTAACTAAGGTCTTGAATGGCATAAAATACCCTCTTTATATTAATAGAATTAATAGTGTGCTATTTAACCCCTACGCGTCGGTTAACGGCTGGAAGGAAATTAATTGTCTAGTTTTAATTTGACAATTTAAGGTGTTATATAATGATTCTAAATTAAGTTT